TTCAGAGTGAAACACAGCAGTGCAGAATATAGCCCTATTTGGCAGAAGAAACAGGTGAGAGACTGGAATAGTCCCAGGCGGACTTCTAGATAGGAAAATAATCCTACTATAGTGGACCGCCGGTAATCCGACAAACATTTTGCAGGGCAGTGTCGGACTATCGAATTTGTCGGATTATAGAGCCGTGGTAGCTCAGATGGTTAGCGCTCGCTGTAAATTTCACAATACGCGAGCAAACCGGGTTCGATCCCCGCCAGCACCAATGAAATTGTTGATTGCAATTTTAAGTGCTGATTTACCACGTGCTCGGCGGTGAAGGAAAACATCGTGAGGAAACCTGCATGTTTGAGAAATAAGAAAAAAAAATATTTCGAAGGCATGTGAAGTTCGCCAACACGCATTGGGGCAGCGTGGCGGACTATTCCTTGCCCTAAAACCCTCTCAGAAATGAGAGGAGGCCTGTGCCCAGCAGTGGGACGTATATAGGTTGTAACTTTGCTTTTTTACTTTATAGAGTACTGCATAAGACCCCTATAGTCCGGAATTTTTTTGCAAAAGAGTACCTACCTTGTAATCCGACAAATTACAGATCCAGTGATAAGATTCTATATGTTATATATATATATATATATATATATATATATATATATATATTTGTACTCTGAAGTACAAATCAAACTTCATTACGTCAAATTCAAACTAAGCAATCAGAATCAAAACAATACCCTACGCGTCGAGCACAATAGTGGTGGTGCGTACAAGTTATAACTTGTTCAATCATGCATTAGCGAAAATTGTCAAAAAATATTCAATAATAAATAATAGACCATGTCGGATATAGGGGGTGCCGGATTAGACAGGGGCCGGATTAGTGGGGTCTACTGTACCTAATTAGTAAATTCTCTCCGTCATAGCAGATTCTCTTAGCTCCCCAATACTCGGCATATTATAAAATCCTACTCGGGTTACATAATAATAATTTCAGTCCGTGAATACATAAATGTAATTGTAAATATAGATTTATAACATCAAACAATTGTTTGATTTATTAAAAGCTGTTTGTTATTCTTGGAGAAATAAATTATTCAAATCGAGCTACAAAGTGTGACGTGTAAACAAAGCCACAACTTGGAAAGTTGTCGTAAATCCCTCAACCCCCGTACAAATCGTCGGGGAAAAGTAAATAATGCTCACCATTTATTTTTCTAGGTTATACGTGCCCTGCATAGGTTTAACTACAAATATTATTACCCTTTTTTATTTACATTAAAGCATTATTATTGTGTCATTTACATTCAGCCCCTGCCACTGCTCCTCGCGCTGCCGGCAATACTTCGCTAAATACTGCCGTAGCAGGATCGCGGGAAGTGTGTATTTAGTATTTACACTCTGCGGCAGAGTGTAAATACTAAATACACACTTCCCGCGACTCTGCCCTACCACTCACATCACTTTCGGCTTTCGACTATGGCAGACGTCGAAATAATTACAGCGTCCGCGCTGTGTCTTCTTGCAATACAAAATTATGTTAATAATTTAAAAAAGACTTCAAATTCGAAAGAAAATAGATAGATAGATAGAAAATTTATTTGCTTAAAAACATGGTACATAAGATGATCAATGACGTGGAACTGACATGTTTTGCCATAATTGGCATGCAAAAATGATATGAAATACAGCTAATTACACAAACCCAATGTTACATTTTAAAATTATTGTATTGCTTAAAAGTTAGGTACAAACATTCTTTTTGAATTCAAATAGGTATTATGTACAATTAAATACTTATACAGATCCACTATATTTGAATTCTTATACTGTAAATTGTTCAAAAATTATTAATTGAATTATTACATTATTGTTACATAAATAATATTAAATATTATATGAAATTAGTTAAGCTATTATTATTTTAATAATTACACTACAGTATTAATTAATTCATAATTTTAACTACAATAAAATTATAATTTAAAAATCTCAGGCTATTATGCAAATATTACCATTTAACTTATTTCACATTTTAATAAATAAATAATCAATATGAGTTACTAATCGTTGTTAGAAATAAAATGTCAATGTTCATTAATTCCTTAAACTAAATTTTATATTAATATAATAATTTGACGAATTTATAATTAATTATGTACATAGGTACAATGTTATCTAAAAAAGAAAATTCGTATTCGTAGAAGATGATGAACTGTGGTTTTTATCGTTGAAATCCCACATAGTTTTTTCTGATTCCAGCAGTTCTAAAAACTTTATTGTATTTTCATTATTCCACTCGAAAGACATTTTGGTAGATCGTACTTATTTAATAACAAGACGGCACGCACGTCCGTTCATCCAGGCGCTTGGCGCGAAGTGAGCGATGGAGCTGAATGTGAACACTCACTGCCGCTCGCGCTGCCCGTCCTTTGACTTCCGCACGAAAAACCGACATTTCGGGCAGTGGCAGCGGCAGCGGCAGTGTCAGCGCGAGTAGCCTGTTTACATACTGCCCTGCCCACTGCCCTGCCCAACAGGGCTGAATGTAAATGGGGCATATGAGGGAAGCTTTGGTGGAATTGTGTGCGCTCCTGCAAAAGTTTCTGGCGAATAAATGTGGTAGTTTGTTCGTTTTATATGCGTTCTTAGACCATTTATTAGAATAGGTACTATTTGGCTTAGCTATTTGGGAAGCTATTGTGTGCGTGCCCGTAAATGTTTCTGACGAATTAATTGTAACGTATGCCGGGTACAGCTAGCGTTATATCGTTTGCAATGTACAAAAATTAATACCCATATGTTGAAGTTTTTTATTTTTATTATTATTTATTATGATCGCTAGTTTTTGATACTTTATGTCCAGAATCATAATAGATTATGTTACCCACGCAATAATGACTAACAAATTGATGTAAGTATATTATTTTTAAAACAGATGGCTTAACCGATGATACCACAAAAACGCCGAAATACAAAATTCAAATATAAAAAGATACATCAGGCAACATATTAACCACCTTTTAGACTCCACCGCAGTGAAAGCAAATAACTCACATTTTATCCAATACACTATCATATATTTCGAGTGTATATTATGTGTTTCTTGCTATATGTACACATTATAAATTCGTTTGACTTCTTCTTCATAAATTCAATAAAGGTTTCGTTCCGGTTCATTTTCTCCTTCGATATGTTATTGGCTATATTTTAAGGTAATACTTTATATGGCTATATTTTAAACAATATGGCGCTTGTTAGTAACGTAATTTGCCAATCAAGTTATTTTATTTGTTAACTAGCATTAGCACATAGCTTCGAAGATGTGAATTTTTTAGATGCAGCACCTTAGTAGGAATGTTTTGACATATAATTGAAGTGTTACTATACTAGTACAGACAGGAGTAGTTGTTTTTACCGAGCTTCATTTTTAGTTCATGTTTCAAGGCAAACGTAAAGATCACCAAAACTCAAGTAAAGGAATTACAAATAAGGAACATTGTTTAGAACCAATTTTACCAGTGCCGAGCATAGTCACAAAGTAGCTAGTTATTTGGTGTTTTACAGGATACATTAAGGCAAGTGTGTGTGAAGTGACTTAATTCCTTTCACTCCATTCCATCATCGGACCACCAGACGCTCGGCTCGGCTAGAAATCGACGGCGAAATAATCGGTTATTTGATAATTGGTTATTTCAATTGTGCCGATATCAATCAGTAGATTTAATCAATCGATATAATCGAATAAAGATTAATCGAAGAAAATTTCTGGGCTTTTCGTTAATATAGATTATATAGATGTTGCGATGTGAGAAATATTGTACTCTCCGTAAATTTAAACAAGAAAATTATCCAACAAATAAAATTAACAAAATTCTGAAAGCATAATTTATAAATTTAATATTTATTAAATTTATTTATTTGGATCTTCCGGTTGAGCCGTCTAATAGTGTAAACATCATAAAGTGTGCTCCGAAAATATAAACAAATAACGTTTTGAAAACCGAATAAACCTTTAAACTGTGCAAGTGAATTGAAAAATAAGGACTAAAGGTGCAATTAAAACAAAAAAAAATCGTGTGTGTTTTGCCTAGAACAAAACAAGTGTAAATATCACTGTGTTATTCTTACCTAAAAACAATAAATATTATCTTACCTTGACATATAGCGGTGCTACCAACGTCAAAGAATGGGTGCGTTTGGCAGAAAAAAGCGCTAGCAAGCGCTTATAAGCGCTAAAATAGTTTTCGGCCAGGACACGATTGCTACTTCAGTAGCGCTGACACAATCCGCCATTTTGCTTATTTAATTTGTTTGTTTTGAAGTAGAGTTTATAAGTTGTTTTGTGCAATATTAGTTTTAAGTAATATAATGACATGAATAAACATATACATGCTATTAAAAACTCATGATTGGTAAGTTTTTAATATGCATATTTTACAAACATATATTTAAATTAGGTTAGATTCCCCGGTTAAAACTAACATCGTGTCCTGGAGGAAAATAGCTACTTACGATTTGACAGCGCTTACCGATTACGATCGCCATTTTGCTTACAAGCGCTTGCTAGCGCTTTTTTCTGCCGAACGCACCCAATGGAACATCGTTTCGTCTCGCCATAGACAAAGTGTTGCAACATTAAATTATATAACTACCAAATTACACTAGTGCTGCCATACCTAAAAACAAATTACTACCAAAATAAAGAAGAGTTGCTAATATTTTAAAAACAAATTCATAAATTTGAAATGGATGAGCAAATGCAATTACGATTTTCGAAAATAAAACTAGAAATGGATAAATAAACAGCGACTCTAACAGATTCGATCACAAAAGCGATACTAAAAAAATGGATGATAAATTAAAACCAATTATTGAAGAAAATCTGTATCTAAAAAATGAAGTGGAGATATTAAATGAGAAGGTAAAACGTCTGGAACTTGGAAAAAAAGGAGAAAAATTTGATATTCTACGGTTTCAAGGAGTCGACTGAAAATATTAACATAGCAGAAATGGTATCAAAAACTTTAACTGATTCGGGTATTGAAATTCGTAAGTCAGATATTAATAAAGCATTTAGAATTGGCAAGGTAAAAGGAGAAGCACGCCCAATTTTAGTTAATATGCTAAATGCATGGAAGAGAAACGAAATTTTGCGAAATAAGAAAAAGCTACCAAAAAATATTTATGTAAATGATTTTTAGAAAAGAGGAGAGAACTCATACCTCAGCTGAAGGAAGAACGAAGAAAGGGACGTATAGCATTTATAAAATATGACAAACTGGTTGTGAAGGGCGAAGCAGGTGGGATGCGAGATAAGAGGAAGAGAGATCAATCTGCTTCACCAAAAACAATGAATGAGACTGGAAACGGCCGACTAAAAATTAATAAAATAAATGCCTTCGAAAGAATTTACAGGAACAGATCACACTCAACATCAGATATGAATAAAAAGTAGCAATTAACACATATCGGAAACCGGAAGATCAGAACAAACGAACTTAAAATATTTAACAAAACAATCACACCTCCCCAAGCCGGCTGGTCCCCGTGGGGGGTATCGACCAATCCCTTCCAGCTCCAATAAGAGAAAATAACGAGAACACCAAAACACAACAAAATAGGAAACTGTATATTTCTACTTTGAACTGCCTAACACTGAGAACACAAGAGAGGCTCAGCGAATTAGAGCTAGCACTCTCAAAAATAAAGTGGGACATATTAGGTTTAAGTGAAGTAAGAAGATTAGGTGAAAGTATCGAAGATCGAAAGGAATACATTCTGTGCTATAAAGGGGAAACAAAAGGAAGTTATGGTGTTGGCTTCATGGTTAAAAAACATTTAGAAAGAAACATTGATGAATTCAAGGGTATATCAGAACGAATAGCTGTACTTAATATGCATTTGCCAGGCTACAGGCATAAGTGGTCAGTTATTCAAGTATATGCACCCACTGAACAACAGGATGAATTAGTTAAAGACCTATTCTATGACCAACTATCATCAGTTGTACAAGAATCACACAAAAACGTTTTAGTTATAGGAGATTTTAATGGGAGAATAGGCTCTCAACGAACTGGCGAAGAACATGTAGTAGGAAAATTCGGTTTCGGAATAAGAAGTAAAAATGGAGAAAGGATGATTAAAATGGCGTTGGAAAACATTCTTGCGTTCATGAACAGTTTTTTCGAAAAAGATTCAAGGAAAAAGTGGACCTGGTTATCTCCAGATGGGTCATACAGAAACGAAATAGATTACATAGCAACTAACAACAGAAAAATTTTCCAAGATATAAGTATTCTAAGCCAATTTAATTTTAACACCAACCACCGCATGGTGAGAGCAATAATAAGTAGTATAGAACCGAAAAAAAGTAGAAACAAATTTAATGTAAAAATTAACATTACAAAAACACAATATTTAGTAAGTAAACCAAAAAATGAAGTGGAAAAAAAATATAATAATGTAATAAACGAAATATATGGTCCGTTGTTAAAGAAATTCCCAAAATCCAACACTACTCATACTGAAAATAAAACTGAAAGATTAATAGAAGAAAGAAAAATGCTGCTAAAACTAGGTAAAGACAAACAAAATCTAATGGCGATATCAATATTAAGCAAAAAAATAAGTAATAGCATCAAAAAGAACAGAATTAAAAAAAGAACCAACGTACTCAACTACCATATAAAAAATACAGGAGGATTCAAAAAAGCTTTAAAAGAACTAAAAGAGACAAAAACCTGGTACCAAATATTAAAAATAAAGCAGGAAAACAGGAAACGACAAGAAGAGCTATAATACAGACAGCAACTGATTTCTTTAGAAAACTTTATGCGGCAGAACATAGTACCCAAGATCTAGCTATAAATCTCGATGACGATGACGACTTAGAAGACATACCAGTTTTTCTACAATCAGAAATAGAAAAAGCTGTCAACAGTCTTAAGAACAATAAGGCACCCGGAGCAGATCAGATTACAAATGAAATGATCAAAACCTCAGTTATGTCACCGGAAAAGCTAAGAAAACTCACAGAAATATATAACTTCATTTTAAGCACGGAATGTATACCATCTCAATGGACAAAGAGCACAATCATACTATTACACAAAAAAGGAGATAAAAACGTAATTCAAAACTAGAGGCCTATAAGCTTCATGTCGAATATTTACAAAGTTTTCTCTAAACTGATTTTAAACAGAATAACAGGGATAATGGACGAAGAGCAACCTATAGAACAAGCTGGTTTCAGAGCGGGGTTTTCAACAACAGACCATATGCATGTCATTAAACAGCTAATAGAAAAATGCCAAGAATACGGTAAAGCCTTGTACATCGCATTTGTGGACTATAGTAAGGCATTTGATTCCATTAAACATGATTCACTGTGGAGGGCACTAATCCAGCAAGGAGTGCCAAAAAAATATATAGCGCAAATAAAACTGGAAAGAGCTGGTGAAGAGTTCCCAATTGCTAGAGGGGTGAGGCAAGGAGATCCACTATCCCCAAAACTTTTCTCTGCAATATTGGAAAGCATATTTAGGGATCTCGAGTGGGACAATTTTGGCATCAATATCAACGGCAGGCAACTCAATCATTTAAGATTCGCGGATGATATAGTCCTCATAAGTGACAACGCTAATACACTTCAACATATGCTACAACAGTTGACGAATGCAAGCCGAGTAGTTGGTCTTACTATGAATAAATCGAAAACAAAAGTAATGACAAACAGGGAAGAGATTGACATAAAAGTAGATTATGAAGATATTGAATATGTTACAAAATACACATACTTAGGGCAATTAATATCATTTAGAGATCATACAGACATGGAAATAGACAGAAGAGTAGCTTGTGCTTGGAAAAGATACTGGTCCCTTAAAGAAATATTCAAAAGTAAATACTTTCCTATAACAGCCAAGAAAAAAGTGTTTAACTCCTGTATCTTGCCATGTCTTACATATGGATGCCAAACCTGGGCGTTGAATCAGAAACATCTTCTAAAACTGAGAACATGTCAAAGGGGAATTGAAAGAAGTATGTTGGGCGTGACGCTAAAAGACCGCAAAAGAGCAGAAGATATTAGATCTACAACAAAGGTGGAAGACATAATTAAGAAAATTAGACAGTTAAAATGGCGATGGACAGGCCATATGGCAAGAGAAAGCAGGATAAAATGGACGCAAATCATAACAGAATGGCAACCACGTGATGGCAAAAGAAAAAGAGGTAGACAAGCAAAAAGATGGACAGACGATATCAAGATTATTGGAGGGACGATATGGACTAGAAAAGCCAACAACAGAGAAGAGTGGAAAGAGCTGGAAGAGGCCTATGTGTCACAGGACACGCTGATCACTAAACTTGGAAAAGCGTTATGCTAGATTATAATTAAGTTAAAACAATCATATACTATGTAAAACAAAATGTTTAGAATCAGCAATAAAGGCTTAAAAAAATTATTTATTTGAATTTTAATCAACATTTCACTTCAGTAGCGATCAGGCCAGCTTCTGAAAATAGTCTTTTACAAGGCATCGATGTTGAAATAATTAAAAATTAATGAACTGTCAGTCACTTTGCAACAAAATAAATTTCCTGATTAAAATCACCCACCAAAAAAAAAAAAAAAAAAACAAACAAAACCACAGGTTAATGTTGTCGAATGAAACGTCAATATTTTTTTTCTACTAGAAGTGAGTCTGACAAATGATAAAGATGTTATTATGCAGCCAATGTTATCAATTATATCTAATATCGTGAAGTATTGATTAATAAGTATAATAATTAAAAAGGGAATATTAGTAATGTTTATAGCATTGCTAATATTCTTTAATAAATTGACATAAAATAATCGATGTAATCGATTATATCAATTTAAGATTAATTGATCGAGTCGCAAAATTTTAACAAGCAATTAATCGATCATTCGGCTGCATCAACATCACGACTAGCCATCATGTGGAATAGTAGTCAAGCACTGGCTTCCAGTAGTTAAGAAAATAATATAACCGTAGCTTTTCAACATCGATTTTTCGACTAAAGCCAGATTTGTTAGGCACAAAGATCATGACAAAGATTCTTGTTAAAGAAATATCGTGAGAGTAACGAAATAAAAAAAAACCTTTTAAAATATCGAATAGGGGTGACAAATGAGAACACAATCCACTTGATGGTAAGAGGATACTGTGGTCCATAGACATCTACATTTATCCTCGATTAAGGACCTATGCGTTGTCACCCCTAAGGACTAAGATGTAATGCCTCGTTTCCAGTAAAAAGGGTCTCCGGTTCTCTACACTCACCATACGAAACACAGCAGCCTTAAGCTACTATTTTACGCTGGTATTTTGTGAGAGCATGCTTGCACCACTTATAAATGATGTCCAGCTTTTATAAAAAAAATCATTTCAAATTTCGGGATAAGAAATAAAGCAAGAAAAACGAAGTAACGTTTAATTATTTATTATCTTGTACAAAGGCTTATTTTTAACAAATTACTTAAATTATGAGCTCTTACGAGACTTTGCTTGTGCAAAAATTCCTATAGGAATTTGAGGCCTAATTTTGACTACTTCATTTTCCGCAGGTCTGAAAAAAGAACATTATTTTAAATTATAGTCAATATAAACGTCTTCAAAGAATGTCTCAAATGGGGGATGTTTGCCACAGTAGCCACGTTTGACAAGTCGGTTGGCAACCAAATTATTTTAATAGTTGTTATTAGGAAGGCGCTGCTGCCTATATCCAGGTTTGCTTCCCTGTGTCTCCTCTTACGACACACAAGGGACGTTATGGGGTAGTTATGGTTATTTCAGTATTTACTCTATTCTTACATAAGTATATATATATATATATATATATATATATATATATATATATATATATATATATACATAGAATACATACATAATAGAACGCGGGAGTGGGCGGAGCTAAATTAATGATATAAGTATGGACTGTGACCAGGGGATAAAATTTAAATGTACACAAGCGAAACGAGTCGATCTCGGCTGCGTACAAAGCCAAGTCCCGCAATACAAAATAAATAAAAATTACAATTGTATAAATAAAATATATCAATTGTTTGAATTATATATTCAGCCACGTTATAATTTATACTATAGTATAAATTATAACGTCTTACTAACGTATCACGTTATAATTCATACTATAGTGTAAATTATAACGTAATTGTAATTAATAACGTTTATCTGACGATTGAAAAATAAGCCTTATAAGTGATGTAATTTCTCAAATACATGATTTCTGGATCTTGAAACAGCGCCACCTACGCGCGTTCTGTGAATGTAAACAATAAACATTCTAGGAACGTATTCAAACACATATAAAAAATTTCATCGAAATCTGTCAAGCCGTTTTTGAGTTTTAGCGAGGCTAACGAAAAGCAATTGGTTTTTATATATGCTAGAGATAATATCTTCTCGATAAAAAATTCTTAAGCTACCTCGGTTTTTAGATGTTATATACAATAATTAACTACTAATTGTATGCTGTCATCAAGGATTTTAAAATGTATTACAATTTACTAAACATTGAGTTTCAATAATTTTGGCGCAAACATAAAATACACAATAGAATGGCTGTCAACTTTATTTTGTACGAGAATTGGCATCGCCAAACCCGATTCGCTGTGTTGACACACTGAGTAAATTTACACATTTGAACCTTTGGATTAATGTTCAAGATCATCGTTAAAAAAATTGTTTAAATTTTAATTCATATTTATTTGTAAATAAGGTGCAATTTGGCATTTTCTAAATAATTTGTATGCGAAATTTGGAAAGGATTGTAACGTCAAAACACATCTCGCGTTGACATTTATATGTGTGAATTGACGTGTTAGTGACGTTTTAGTAGCTACGCGGGCTCCGCCCACTCCCCCGTTCTATTATGTATGTATTATAGTACTTTGTGGGCGCAAACATCATTTGTATTCCAATTAGAAGATTGTCCATCTCAATCGAGCTGCAACTACACGCATGGCGTGTTTGAGAAGAGGATAAACAAAGAAAGAGATAATTTTAGGACACTGGGTTGTTAATGATAAATATTTTAAGGGCGTGTGACACCAGGCAACACGCATTGAAGCATTGCATGCCGAGACGTGGGACTTTGTTTTGATTTATTTTGAGGATATAAAACAATAATCTTGAACCGTTACAAGAAAAAAATTTACCCGTCCGGATGATTTGCCCACGAGATGCGTCTATGAACCATATCGAAGCCTCGTGTACGCGGCGATTGGTCACATATGGAGTTCTTTCGTCTGAAATGCAAATAATATTTTAAAGACTATTTCCTATAGGTACTATATTTTAAAGGGGCAAATGACCTTTTTAGAAGTTCAAACAACTGCAGAAGATCTTCTGCAGTCTATGAACAGAGTCGTGGTACTTTTGAGGACTAAACCATCAGCATCATGAACTTTTATAACCTTGCAATATGCTATTTAAACGTTACACGACTTTTCTGTTTTACATATTTATTATAATATATCGACGGCTATCGACTGGGGAAGGAATTACGGTGGTGAGTTTCCTGGTGTAGTGGTGTTGGGTTAAGTGGTTGCACGAAATTTCGGGAGGGAGGAAGATGCTCTTCAAACTAAATAACAGATTTCATTTTTACAAACAAAGGTTATGAATATCGCTGCGATTTACAGCACTCCTTATGGCGTGTGTAATGTGTTGACTATATTACATATTTGTATAATTTCCAATGCTGACATGTTAGAGTATGGACTAGTTTTTTAAATTCAAGGGAAATCAATAGTTATAGAAAGTATAGTTTAACATTGGTTGAGCATTTCTGAGATAGTATCATTTCATACAGAATTATCCAGCGTGAGATTTGCGATAAGATATTATTGTTACGAGCTTAGGGTTCGTGACAATAAAAATTGCCGATAAAATTACCTAAATTAACACTTTAATTTACTTTAAACAAATTAAAACTTAAAACACTAATGATTAAACACACTAATTCACTTAATTCTGCTCCGAAGCTTCGCTTGTGTCGCCGAGTTCAAGTCTACTTCGATCGCATCTTGCAGCGCCTACTTATATAAATTAGCAAAATATCCAGAATGTTCAAGTAAACACGCGCAAGGTACCGAGAGTTCGAGTTTTAAACTTCAAGAAGTTTAGTTTTTCGGTTCGAGACTAGATGGCGCTAGTGCGCCGATTTGAGGCATTGGAGCGCGTAACACTGCCCCCTCCTAAGACATGCTCGTCCCGAGCATTATCGGTCCCATAGTAACGCGCTAGGCGATCCACATGGACGATCTTAGGAGTCCCTCTTGCGCCTTTCTGTATCCGGTAGGTTACATCGTTGATCCTGGTCACAATCCGGTACGGGCCGTCCCATTTAGCTTGAAGCTTAGGAGATTTCCCTTTGCTGCGGACTGGATTGTGCAACCACACAAGTGAACCTTCGTCGAACCCTTTGTTGTTCATTTTGCGGTCATACCGGGTTTTCATCTTTTCAGACATTTGCTGGCCCGATTGTCTGACGTGCTCATAAACGTCATTCATTTTGTTCCGCAAGTCATTTGCATAATCGGTTATACTGCGTGGAGCATCAGGTGGTATCCCGGTGATCAGGTCTGCAGGCAGCCGTAATTCTCTTCCAAAGTTTGCGAAAGCTGGTGTCACTGCTGTACTTTCGTGAACAGCGCTTCGATATGACAACAAAAACGGTTGTATGTGCTTGTCCCAATCTCGTTGCCGATTGTCTACAACTTTTGCTAGGTACCTCTCCAATGTCTGATTAAATCGTTCTACCATTCCATCAGATTGCGGGTGATAAGAAGTCGTTCTTGTTTTATGAGTACCCATAACTCGGCAAGTTTCCTGGAATATTTGAGACTCAAAATTCCTTCCTTGATCGCTGTGAATCTCTAAAGGTACACCAAAACGACAGAAGACTTCATGAACCAGCTTATCAGCAACTGTTGAAGCTTCTTGATTTGGAATGGCGAAGACTTCTGGCCACTTAGTGAAGTAATCCATCACAACCATGAAATACCTGTTACCGCTTTCACTCTCCGGAAACGGCCCCGCCACGTCAATGGCTATTCTCTCCCATGGTGCACCAACATTGTACAACTTCAATGCACCTCTACTACGAGTCTGAGGTCCCTTTACAGCCGCACAACTTGTACATTTGCGACACCAGTCCTCGACATCGTTTCGACAGTGGACCCAGTAAAACCGTTCTCAGATCTTCAGTAGAGTTCGTTTAACTCCCAGAACTCCCAGAGCCTCCTAAATAATCATTATGGTACAGCTGTAGAACATCCGGTACTTTAGCTTTAGGGACAACCATTTGTAAATGACAGCTGTCTCCCCGAACATTTTCCCATTTACGGCACAGAACTCCATCCTGAAGCAGCAAGCTGTCCCACTGGGCCCAATAGCTTTTAGTGGTCGAACTCATCGCTGAGACGTCGCTCCACTTTTCCACGAAAGGCTTGGGAGCACTGGCCTTCATCCATTCCAGGATCGGCTTGATGTCCGGATCTTCCTGCTGTGCACGTTGTAAGCTGTCCTTCCACTCGTTGCTGAGGTGGTCTGCCCTGAGCATCCTCACGGATACCACTTCCTTACTCTCTTGCCTAGTACAATGTTTGCAATCTTCAGGACAAGGTCTTCTTGACAATGCCTTTTGCGATTCGCATCGAATGCGAATTCGCCCCAGAAGATATTTGCTAAAATGCTGCAACGACTTTACCACAGCTAGCAATTCGCGTCTTGTGACACGGTAGTTCCTTTCCGGTTTTGACAACGACTTGCTGAAGTACGCTATCACGACCTCTTGGTCACCATTCCGTTGAGACAACACACCGCCAAGTCCTATATCACTTGCGTCTGTGTCAACTATAAATTCTTTGCTTGCATCAGGGTATCCCAAAATAGGTGTTTTGCACAGACGGTCCTTGAGCTCCTGGAATGCGATATTGCAACTTTCATCCCAGCAGAAATGTCGCTTCTCCTCGGTTAGCTTGTGCAGAGGTTTGGCTATATCTGCAAAGTTCTTCACAAATCGCCGGTAATAGGAGCACAAACCCAAAAATGCTCTAACCTGCGTCTTGTCTTTTGGAACCGGCCAATCCTTGACAGCGGCGATTTTCTCTGGATCTGTGCGGATACCTTCTTCCGATACTACAAACCCCAAAAAGTTAACTTGCCGTTGGAATAGTGAACATTTCTTCGGGCTCAACTTGAGGTTGGCACTCTGAATCTTCATGAGCACGCGTTCCAGGTTTTGAAGGTGTTCCTCAAACGTACGGCCTATGATGATGATGTCATCCAAGTAGACCAGACAGGCATCGCCAATTAGCCCGGTAAGTACAAGTTCCATCAGCCTTTCAAACGTTGCTGGAGCATTGCACAACCCAAACGGCATTACTTTAAATTGCCACAGACCCTTTCCCGTCGAGAACGCAGTTTTCTCCTTGTCCTTAGGGTCAATTTCAACTTGCCAGTAGCCACATTTTAGATCCAGCGTGCTAAACCACTTTACTCCTGTAAGCATGTCCAGCGTGTCATCAATTCTTGGCAAGGGATAGCTGTCCTTCTTCGTAACGTCTAACAGACGGCTGTAGTCAACACAAAACCGCATGCTGCCATCCTTCTTCTTCACTAGCACCACTGGTGAACACCATGGACTAGATGAAGGTTCAATAACACCATCCTTCACCATTCCCTCTATCATGGTTTCCACTTCCTTTTCACGTGCTACCGGCAATCGTCTTGGCCGCTGACGGATAGGCAATTCTTCTCCTGTGTTTATTTTGTGTTGAACTAAGCCAGTCTTTCCTATGTCAGCATCGTTTGATGAGAATACATCGGCGTACTTGAGTAACAACTTCTTCGCCTTGACCAATTCGTTCGGCGAGAGAACACTGCGACAGTCTTCCAAAAGTGTGGTCACTCTCGTTTCTGCATCCTTTCTGGGGGTCCCACTCGATATATATTGGCACCGACGTAACCAATCCACTTCCTCACAAGTACCAATCAGTCTGCCTTTTTCTATAATCTGTTCCCGGTCGCAAAGGTTCAGCACACGTACTCCTGAGATGTCAGTGGTCCTAACCAAGGTTCGAGCTACTTTCCATGGAAGGTCATTGTTTACCCTTTCGACAAGTACACAACGGTGAGTTTGCCCAGCGTTTCGAGGAAGACTAACCGGAACAATCGTTTCCGATCTCGGCGGAAGAACAGTCTTCTTAATGCTGTACACGTTCCCTGGTAACGCACCTTCCATAAAAAGTTCCTCCTGTCCACATTTCAAAACACCTTGCTTAACGTCGATCTCACAACAATTATTCCTCATAAAGTCTAGGCCTAGGATGCAGTCGTCCATTATATCAGCCACGATGACATTATGCAGGTAGATCACGTTGCCTAGCTTCAACTCCATCTCCTTCTCTCCACGGACGGGTATACGCTGACCGGTAGCTGTTACCAAATTAATGCGTTCTCGGTTGTATGCGGAGTCCCCAAGGAACTGACTTATAAGTTGGGAACTAACAACCGTACGAGAGGCTCCAGTGTCTATGGTCAGTTTACACGGCATTCCGTTGACCTCGCCCTTGATGATTAGACTGTTCCCATCATGGGTTTGTGAGATCGAGATCCTTGGGGCTCTTTTAACATCAGCCAGCACCCGCCCCGCAGTTCTGGCTTTTACTCGTTTCCCTGCTGCTGCTGGGCGGTGCTGTTGGCTGCACTACCCTCCTGGGATCGTTCACCTTCCCTTTCTAGGGTTCGCTTAGGGCAGCTGGATCGAAGATGGCCCTTTTCCCCCACAGCCATAGCACCTTGGGCTGTATCCTTTGTTGCGGTCGCGAACTGTAGCTGCTGCAACCTCCCTGACGCGATGGGAACGATGATCCTGCCGCACGGCTTCCACTTCCAGTGCATGGGCCAAGGCGTCCTTAAGCGTCTCGTGGTGCCCGAGCCTCACAGCAGCTCTGACTTCCAGGTCGCGGATGCCGTCGATGAATGTCTGCACCAGGTTCCCTTCAATGAGCGCAGGTACAGACCGGTATGCTTTTCGCACCAGCTTCTCCACTTCTAGAGCCCACAGCTGCAGGTTTTCGTTGATGAGCTGCACACGATCTTTAAGCTGCGCACGAAAGACGTGTTCCAGGTGAGCGTCGCCATATCTCGCCTCCAATGCCTCAAGGAGTTGCTCATAAGTCACTTCCTCACCGAGAGCTTCCAGAACTGTTAAGGCCTGGTCGTGCAGGCCTAGTGTGAGAGCAGTCATGGCCTGACTTTTATTCCAGCCGTTCGCCTTCATAACAGCCTCGAACTGGATTTTGTAGGCTGACCAGGAAGAAGTCCCGTCGAATGGTAGCACCTTGAACCCACGTAGCGAAGGTGCTGTAGCTACTACGGGAGCTGTCGTTCCATCCCCAAGTTTGAGGTCCTTCAGCGTTTTCTTCACGTCAGCCATCACGTTGTCAACCCGATTTTTCACATGGTTGATTCGGTTCTCATGTTCTTCGATTCGGGTTTCAGCTTCCGACAGGCGGTTGTCATGTTGAGCAACCCTATCCTTCACCTCCCTTATCTCTTTCCCAAAGGTAGCGTGAAGGTCCTTCATGAGGAGCATCTGCTCTTCCAACCGACGAGCCTGTTCCGCCTGCTGATCTTCCAACCGACGGGCCTGTTCCTCCTGTCGGCGGGCCTGTTCCTCCTGTCGGCGGGCCTGTTCCTCCTGTCGGCGGACCTGTTCCTCCTGTCGGCGGGCCTGTTCCTCCTGTCGGCGGACCTGTTCCTCTTGTCCGCTCTGCAGCTGCTCTTTTAACTGACGGACCTGTTCCTCCTGTCGGCGAGCCTGCTCCTGCAGCATCACCATCAGAGCACCTAAGTCGGGTGCTGCAGATGTAGGAGCTACTGACGGGCCTGCAGCCGGCGACTGTCCCTCCGACGTCTGCGGCGTTGCACCACCAAATCTTCGTTGGTCCGTCTCCTGCTGGCGTTGACTTCGGGTACGGACACCCTCCGTTTCCTCCTTAGGTAAAATCGGCATTATTTTATCCCACTTCTGACACCAATTGTTACGAGCTTAGGGTTCGTGACAATAAAAATTGCCGATAAAATTACCTAAATTAACACTTTAATTTACTTTACACAAATTAAAACTTAAAACACTAATGATTAAACACACTAATTCACTTAATTCCGCTCCGAAGCTTCGCTTGTGTCGCCGAGTTCAAGTCTACTTCGATCGCATCTTGCAGCGCCTACTTATATAAATTAGCAAAATATCCAGAATGTTCAAGTAAACACGCGCAAGGTACCGAGAGTTCGAGTTTTAAACTTCAAGAAGTTTAGTTCTTCGGTTCGAGACTAAATGGCGCTAGTGCGCCGATTTGAGGCATTAGAGCGCGTAACATTATAAAGCAGAAATGAATACTTCGTGATAAGGTAAGGATTATTTCTAATAAGTCTGAATTTAACAACCGCTATAAAATAATCGTTCCGAGGTCTCTGCCCACCCTTTAGGTAACAAGCGTGAGAGTTAATGTATGTAATATGTATTATTAAGCGAGGGCGGGTGGTGCTCTCCAACATGGTAAAACAATTCATTATAATTTATACGCAGATCTCAGCTAATTAATAATGGAGATCAGTAAAGTAACGTTTGATTTTATTAATCAGAAGTAAGGGTGGATTCGTCCCTGGTGGGGCGGGCTACACATCTATATTTTATATCCGATTCAGAAACAAAATGCAAATGCGTTGTCACGTCCGCCTCAGTACCAGTTAAAAGGGTCTCCGGGTCTCGTTCAACATACGAATAGCAACATTAGGTTGGTATTCTGTGCGGGTATGTTCTTTGCCGGTTGAGCCCATTCATGTTGCAGGCGTAATACGCTGCAGCATGGCTCTACGTCAGAAAGATATGCTGTCATTAAATTAAAAAAAATCCCCTCTACAATAAGACAGGTTCATGTGCAGTTGTAGACAGGGTAAACACAAATAATCTCGTAAATTACCTCTTATCAGAATTTAAAACACAATATAAGAACGCTCCGTTGCACTGAGTGCTTGTGAATAAATACGGTCCTTCGCATTGTGAATTCGCGTTGACGCGGAAGACTGATGCGACTCCAATAAGAACTTCATGTCCTCCAATCCAAGTTATGAGAGGCCCACCGTGGTCATTCTAGAGTATGAGAGAAAAGATTTTGTTAGCAATATACCTACCTACTCTCATAAGACGTCTAATAAATATGCAATATAGGACTGCCTCGTTGGACTAATGGTTGTAGTAGTGTGTTCCTGGGTTCGAATCCCGGGTCGGGCCAAAAAATCAATTATTGAGTTTTCCTATCAAAAAATTCTCAGTAGCTGCCCGGATTCAGGAAGTTGGCGGTGTCTCACCCCCGTGCCTTGGAAAGCACGTAAAGCCGTTGGTCCCGCGCCTGATCTCTCTCCCGGTCGTGTCGGTTTACCGTCCCATCGGATTACGAAAGTGAGGGAATAGAGAGTGCACCTGTCCTTGCGCATTCACTTGGGCACTATAATCCTGTTCTGCGCCGATGGCTAGCCTCTTTTGAGGCAGGCCGCCGTGGCCGAAATTCGGTTTGGAGGACATTATGCAATATAGGAAACCTTGGAGTCATGGTTGCTTGGCAGTGAGTTGCTAAAAGAAAAACTTGTTGTTTGTAAAATACTTGTTAAATGATGATGCTAACCTTGAGAACTCCCACTAGATCATCACCAGATGTATGCGGTAAATTCGCTAGTGCAGTAACATGCGAAAGTTACTAACCTATTATTAGAACTGTGGTTGGCTTCCTTCTTAATCTATATAGATTATGAATGAAGCTTGTACTATCTTACAGTGGAATCAAAGGTTTGTCACTTTAAGAAAATATCATATTTATACATTTAAAACAAAATGTACTCTTGGTGTTTTCACTTTAAGGAGTTTTCGAGTATAATTTTTTCCCCTGGGTTGTATTTTATTCATGTATTGTTATTATAGTGTATTATTTCTTACTTAACTACAAACAGGACTACGATGTTAGTTTATTTATTTTTCTTCAGCGATATTGAACTAATTTTCTTTGAAAGCTTTTGTCGATTTAGCTAAGGTAAGATATATATATATATATATATATATATATATATATATATATATATATTTATATTACTATTGCAGGCAGACGTTGCTCTGCCCTTTTCAACGACCCTTTGTCATGTCCTATTAAAAATCCTTAAATTAGCAAGGTTAAGTAGCTTAAGGAGTCCATCGCGGACAAACAACGTGACTCGTAATTTATATATATTAAGATAACCTTAATTTTAAGGTTATAATATATATGTGTGTGTGTAATAAATTTAATGAATTGAAATAAGTAACAATAAAACATGTACCTGGCATATTCCTTGTCTTCTAGTTTTTAGATTGTGAGTTGAGTTGAAGTTAGATCTTCTAGTCATGTCGTGAATATACTTTCCATGATTTAAACATTCCGGTCTAGGCTTCTGAAATAATTATTAGCGTGCGTAGCGTTAGTTTTAGCGATGGTGGAGAAATGGAAACCGGACGGCAAAATATTTGATGAATAGGTAAATGGAAACATATTTATTGTCACCTATTTACGTCGAATATAAATCTGGATATAACACATTCATATTATAAACAACCAAGGTTAGTCGTGAATGTGGTATTCTGCTTACAGAGTAAAATTTAATAAAAAAGACTAGACTTAAAATAGTTTACGTACTTTAAGGTCGATTTATAAACTAGACAATTTTTATTATTTACAAAGTATGTATATGTACGTTTATGATATTATTAAACATCGTGCAGGTATTTGTATACTATAACCTATGACTGCTGGAGAAAAGTAAATTTTTAGCTTATATTTACGAATATTTTACTGACGCGCTGCGAAATCTCGTATTCCCCTATTTCCTTTTCCAAAACTGAACCGAGTAAAATTTTTCAAAAAAAAAAAAATTATAGCAACGATTATTGCTATATATCTTTGAATTTGTTTCCTGAATACAGGATACGAGCGGTATAATAAGAACATTTTATAAATTCACTCTATTGTAACGTAACGCCTGCCGGATATTCTCTTATTGCACGACCACGCACTAAGCGGCCAAGGAAAACTACCACATAATGCTGTGTAGGTTTAATTAATAGAAGAAGTTTTGTTTAAAAAAGTGGAAAAATATGTTATTCACATATTTTTAGGTGAGTATATGCGTCGGGGGTCAATCGTATGACAACTATCGTATAGTGTTTATGGCTGGATAACGCAGAGGAAATGAAATTGAAATGTTCCGGGTCTGGATGTTTGTTCATCTGCAATAAAGCTTATAACACAGAAGAAAATCCTAGCATGTGGGTCGCGTAACTTAAAACTTTTTCAAACTTTTAATAAAAAGTTCATACTAACTACAAAATGTAACAACTATAATGTCTTCTAAATATACATTAAAATCTTCATCCCTTATTTACCACCCTGTAAGGTGTATACAGTATATAAGATGAATGAGTGCAGATGGGATGCAAGGGAAAGTTAGTGTACGAAACAAACCCAATGAAAGTCGATCTAACACTGAATTTATTTTAAAGAATTATAAATTGATGTATAGGCAAAAGTACGGAAGTTACATGATTTCGCAAGTGACAAATGCATTGTTTCTGCGTGACCTAAATAAACGAGTCATTGAATTAAAATTACATAAAATATGTGCGGTAACCCGTACATTCTGCCGGCCCAAAAGAGGGAAAACTATAAACACAAAGGTACCAAGAATGTAAAAAAAAATAATATGATAACAATTCAAAGTACAAAAATAAAATCGTAAAATAATATAAACAAAAATAATATAACGAATTCCTTAAATATTTCATCACTGCACTACACTTGTGATGGAATGTCATGTCGCACGGATCGCGGTCTCGTCCTTGGCGCAGGTTCCTGGTCTCCGTTCGTGACTGCCGCCATAGGAATGGAGATTACGGGAGTGTTTGCCGTCATGTTCAGTGCTCTCTTGGTTCTGCGACATCGTATAATGATGTAAATGGATGCCGCTAGTATGATCAATCCCAGTATTGTGTACATAACTGAATATTGATGAATGTCATGTACGCTGAGTGGTGCGCTTTCTTGTTCTTTGAGGTTTGTAATCTGAGCCTTCATGCGACGCCACTCGTCTCCATGGTCTTCGGATGTAAATTGCTCGAAGCCTGAAGTAGTATTTAGGATGGAATTCAATATGGAAGTGTCTGATGGGATCGGTATGTCCTCTTGAACTTGAACTTGGCTCAAGTAGTTGTTGTGACCAAAAATAGAAAAGATGTCACTCTTGATGGTACAACCTTGACCGATTTGTAGTAAGCCATTCCCGGTCAGTGACTTCATTATCATTCCAGTGTCAATGCAAAATAGCGCACTGTGCATTTCCCACAGCAAGAGAATAGCCACCTGTTATCGCATTGTAACTTAATCCATCGCTCGCGACACGGCGCCTTCTTTGTATGCCACATTACACATTATTTTATCGTGTATGCTCAAGTTACAAATTGCTTGTTTTATTTGTAAATCATAAATCGGTTTATCTATAGAGCATAATAATCTGTTTGTCTGTGTATGGACACAATTTTGAATCTCGGATTCTGATAGCGTGAGGAGCAGGTCTTTTTGCAGATTGAATGCGATATAGGGTGTTATAATTCCCAAGTATCTGCTGCGGAAGACTTATAGCCTTATCCAGCTAAAGGTTTCCTTGTTGACCAGAGGAATCTTAATTTCGATAATCAGATAAGAGTTGCTCAGGTCACCACTTATCTTCATCAATTTGTATAGTTCCCTAAAGTCGTGCATATCGGCAGGCAAATTCAGGTCATTTGGTATGTGTCTGTATATAATATTGAGCTGCTCTTCCAATTGTTCTGGAGGCAATAAGTGAGCGTCCATATGACCATTTGCAAGGTCTGTTAGGGTGTTAATAACACTTTCCTGCATGTGCCGAACATTAGTGATAATAATCATGGCTGACATGGATGCTGACAGGATATGTAGCTCGTCGTTATTCATTTTCTCTATTCAGTTGGTAGTGAAGGTTATATTCTGTAGGTATTTCTGAACCAATCCAAACTGCTTGTTCATGATGGCTTCGTTTCTTTGAAGAATATTGTACTGTGCTTCTATGACACTTGTTTGGTTTCGAAGCAGAAGTTGTAGGTGATTTTCGTTCATAGAAATATTTTCTATGTCCCTTTCATATTTCTTCGCGAAACGCTCGTCCAGGACACCGAATAAGGAATGGGCCACATATCCCACACCATTGATCAGTCCTCTTTTTTGTCTTCTGTGAACACCGTTCTTGAGTATCTTGTTGTAATGTTGAATTTCGGATATTTCATGTTGCAGCTGATATATGATACTCTTGTATTGTACTGGAAGCGTAATGCCGTGTAGGTACTCTTCCAAGTGACCGACGTAACTTTTCACGTGACTTAATGCTGACCAGTATGTACTCATATTATAGTACACCATTAATTTCCATTCATCTCGTATAAGATTTATGTCATACATTTTGTCAAAATAAATGTTTTGGTTGTTATCCAATGCTGATATGTTGTACGAACACTGGCTAGGGGTGAACAGATATAGGAACAGCATCACCACCATCGTAAAGAATGTTCTGACAGGCCTTCTCGTCGTGCGCCTTGGTCGTTGTTGTTTTGCTTGCGAGTCAGCTGTTGTAACGTCATCACATGTAGATGATTGAACGTCGTTGCTTGTATGTTGTTCCGTGAGTTCTTCTCTCACCGGTAGAACGGATAGTTTTAAGATCGGCCTCTGCATGATTCCATTTTTGGTTTTGACTGACACCACCCGTACGTATCCATCCTTACCAGGGTGAACATCAATGACCCTACCCATTAACCATTTGCCAGGGGGTAAGTTTTCATCCTTGATTAGGACAATATCGTTGATCTCGATGTTTTTTGAGGGTGTTCTCCACTTGGTACGAACTTGCAGCTGTTGTAGGTAGTCAGATGACCATGTCTTCCACAACTGTTTGTTCATGGCTTGAATCATCTGCCATCTTGTTGTCAAGTTCATGTGATTAGGATCTGTTTGTGGTCTTGATATCAGTGATCCTCCAACTAAGAAATGTCCCGGTGTT